TGTCAAAATATTTCAGCTGGTTGATATTCCTAAAAGTATAATTCTTATATTTTGGGTTTTACTTTTCAATAGTTTATTGGCAGTACACAGAAAGAGAAAATCAGTATATTGACCTTTTCCCTGCTATCTTGTAAATCAATCTGATTTTTAGTAGCTAAATTAGGATTTTTGTTGTAGACAATTATCACTTTTTAAATATAGTATTTTATTCCTCCTACACCACCTTTTCCTCTTCATATTCCTTATGTTCAATGGGTTTGAACTCATGTACAGTGATTAAACAGATGTAGTGGAGTAGCAGCCCTCTGGCCTGATTCCTAGCATGAGCGGATAACTCAGATTTCTACTACTAAGTCTGTTAGCTGTAGGTTTGTCATAGATATAGCAGTCAGTTTGAGAAAATCTTCTATTTTATAAGAATTTGGGGGCCAAGGATTTAGCCCAGTGGTTCTGCCGCCTGCCTTACAAGCACAAGGTCCCGAGTTCGATCCCTGGTACCAAAAAAAGTTTTGATCTTACACTGACTTGCATTTTATAAATTCCTTTTAATACATCAGTGAAATGATCCTATTATATGACCTATTAATACGGTATATTACATTAGTAATTTTTACTTGTTAATCAATCCTTTCATTACTGAAAATTTTCACTAGGATATATATTAGACATTCTCAATCTTGTAAGATTAATACTTAAAGCATAAATACTAAAGAATTGTGAGTTAATAATATATACTGCTCTAAAAATAATATCCACACCTATCATCTACCCATCCATCTATGTAGATATCTAGCTGGATTTAAAAGGATCTGGGAGTGGGTATAGCGGTTTCTGCCTGTAATCTCAGAACTGAGGGAGGCTGAAGCAGCAGGATCACAAGTCTGAGTCCAGCCTGGGACACTGAGACCCTGTCTCAATCAATCGGACTGAGGATGTAGCTCAATCAGTGCTAGAGCACCCCTTGTTCTCTAGTATTACACAAAAAAGTTGTGGGGTTATAGTATATACTTTTACTCTCAAATATAGAGTTAAAGTATTTTAATTTTTTTTTTTTTTGGTACCGGGGATCAAACTCAGGACGTTGTGCTTGCAAGGCAGACCATGGAACCACTGAGCTAAATCCTCAGCCCAAAGTGTTTGAATTTGAAAACATAATAGTTCTTTCCCCCGTTCCATCGTTTTGTGATTTTGGGACATTTTATAGCAGTATATATACATAGCACTAACCCTACAATTCTTTACTATTTATGCTATGAGTAATAATCTTACGAGGTATTTGAAAATGTGCAGTGAATGTTTTTATATTTACTCATATAATTTATTTCTTCCACTTTGGTTTCATTGAGTAGATCCAGTCTGGTTCTGGTTTTCACTTTCTTCCTCAAATTTCCTTTAATGCTTTTGATATTAGAGGTGTGCTGGTGATAAACTTTTTTCTTCTGAAAGTCATTGTTTTATCCTTAAAGTTTACTTTTCCTGGAGTTATATTCTGGATGCTGCCTACAGCTTTACCTATAGGTGAACCCAAGGTCTGGGGGAAGTCAGAACCTCTTTGTCCCCTAAACACACCTCGGTTTTCACCTGCACGTGAGTTTTCCAATACCAGGGGTTGTGTGGTACAACCCAACCAGGGAGCACTGGGACCCTATCCTGCTGTGGAGAAGGAGAGGTAGCCAAGCCAAGAGCCACTTACAGGTTTTACATTCACTGTATGGTTTCCCCAGGCTTTTCTTAGGTGCTGCTGTGGTTTCAATATTTATATCCACTCCATAATTCATGTTGCAAATTAATATCCAGTGCAACAGTGATACACTGGGACCTTCAGGAGGTGATGAGATCAGGAAGTCTCCCTGGTGAATGGATTAAGACCTTTATTAAAAAGGCTTCAGTCTTTTCCATCCCTTGCACTCCATGAGCTCACAATGTTATGGAGATGCGCTAAGACCCAACCTTCTACCTGGGAGGAGACAATATGCAGCCATTTCCTTCTCCAAAACACTAGTGGTACCTGTGCTTTGGTTATTACAGAACTTACCAAATATAAAATACAGTCAGCTGAAATGTGATTATCAATAAATCATAATATATATTTACTAGGAGGTGTTAGAAATTAGGGGTAACAACTGTCCTGGTAAATATAGATGGTTTTAAGAATGCCTAGCAGTTAAAAAAAAAAAAGAATGCCTAGCAGTGATGGTGAACCTTTTACAGTTTTCAATGATACAAACAGCCCGCTGCAGTACACGTGCCAGAAGTTCGCCACCACTAGTCTAGAGCATAACAATATTTTAATATATAAATATGCCCCCTCTGAATGTTTTGAATTTAAAATCAGCCCTTTATTGAGCACCAAGCTCTGAACTGTTGTATTACTGATAGGTTTTCTGTCAGTAAGAACAAAGATAGGTTCCAAAGGTTTCATATTGAAAATGGAAATTGACTCCTAAATACTTCAAAATAAAATGTCGGCAACTTTCATCTCACTTTAATGTTTTTTTATTAATTTTTAACACATAAAAATTTTAAAATTGTACAGATTAATGGAGTATCACGTATGATACATGTATATACTGCGTCATCAAGTGAAACATAAATATCTTCTCTAACATTTATCTCTGAAAAGGCAAAAACATTTTGAACCCTTCTTTTATATACATAACACATGATCACTACCTATAGTCGCTCTGCTGTGCAATTGCACACCTGACTTTCTTAGCCTTAACTGCAATGAAATATCCACTGATCATTCTGCCTGATGCTTTATGAGGAAAGTAGCTGAAAATTTGATTTTCTTTGCAAGAACTGCCGGTATTTCAAATGGCTTGCCTGTGTTGTTTCTTGACCTATTGACATATTTAAATGAATAATTTAACCACATATTCAACTTATAGGTTGTCTTTCATTTTAAGCAAAATTTTCAAGGGTATAAACATCAAAATGATATTTTAAACATAGGCAGTGTATGTATTTTCAATTACACCTTTATTAAAATATAACAAATATTCAAAATTTGTACCTTCTAAGTCATTTTACTGCATTGCATATCTAAGTTCTACAGGTTATTTGCATTCGTAGATAACCACGGTGAAAACTGAATGCTGTTTCTGACAACTCTCCTAACTCCATTTGTGATACCATTTTTTGGGGGGGGGATACCAGGGATCAAACTCGGGTCCTTGTGCTTGCGCAGCAGGCTAAATCCACTGAGCTAAATCCCCGGGCCTCGTGATACCATTTTGATAGTTTGAAACTGGACATGATTGGAGGATACACACTAGGAAAATTGGCAAACACTACAAATCATGGTCTGATTTATTGTATTACTTAATAAATTATTTTATGTCTAGAGGTAACATAAAAGAATATGTGAATACAGATTAAACTTAAGAGTGTGTGTGTCATTCACTGTGCATGGCATGAAAAACTGCTGAACAAAAATGAGCTGTTAATATGGAAACAAGAAAACATGTAAAATATATGAACACTTTACCAAGGATACACAGATGACAAATTCATAAAAAGAAGTCCAACATCACAAATCAGTACAGAAATGCAGTTAAAACTACTGCACACTTCTAAAAAATAGACCAATTGTTGGCAAAGGTGTGGAAGAAATGCAATTCTCATAGTCTTAAGCAAACAACCACTTTGGTTCAGTTAGGCAGTTTCTTAAGTTAAGCATCCACCTTTCTGTGTCTCAGGCATTACACTTTGAGTCATTAACACAAAATGACCCAAATGCTTACAAACACATGGATAAACAAATGTTATATCCACAGAAAATGTCCTACTCAATAATAAAAACAGGGTCAGGGATTTAGCTCAGTGGTTCTGCCACCTGCCTTGCAAGCACAAGGACCCAAGTTTGATTCCCAGTACCCCCCCCAAAAAACAATAAAAACAATGAGCACCTCATACAAGCGTTGAAACAGTCTCAATTATCATAAATGAAACTAGAAAAAACATTTTGCCTTCAGTCATACAAAATTCTAGAAAATACAATCTATTATGTAAGTAAAGGAAAATTAATGATTTGGTCAAGGATGGAAGAGGTTAAAAAAGGGAATAAGGTAAACTAGAGGTGACCAGTATGTTCACTGTAATAATTACAATGATGGCCTAGAGGCTTATTACAGGAAAGATATAACCCAAGATTCACTCCATTTCTTTCCTGATGACCTTGTGGGGCCAACTCTGCCTCAGTGGCAAGTATTAGTGGGTAATGGAGTTCATTTCCACATGGGATGATCGTTAGGCCACACAGCCACTTCATTAAAGTAATCCATCTCCCTTCTCTCTAGGTGTGTGTTTCTGGCCCATAAAAGTGAACGTTCCAAAAAGTATACTGGAATGAATACATGAAACTTCCAGTTTATTTTTTTTCCTGACAATGACCTCAGCTATAGACCAGATATACATCCCTGGAGATGATGATAATGTTTGTGCACATCCAACACAATTACTTGAACATTTTACAAGGAACAAGTTTTGTGTACTTTGCTGCTGTCTCCATCACTCCTTATTAACCCAGCATTTTTGTACCTATTAAGATTCTCTCTGGCTTCCTTAATCTTAAGAGGGACACAAGCTCACTGAATTATGGGTATACAGGCACCTGATTCCTTTGCAGAACCTAGGGCAGACACTGTACTCCATGGTGCTGGGCACTGTATCTTGTGTAAGCAAACAAACAAAAAAGACACAAGAAAAAAAAAACAACCCAGAAATCTAAAGCTTGTCTGTTTCCCAGAAACAATAGGGATTGTTACAACTTCCTGCCTCCTCAAGGTGTTCCCTGAGACCACAAAAAGTTCTGGCACTCAATCCACAACTCAGGAAGCCTAGAGGACAAATCAGGGAAGATAGTTACATTCTCACATTATTCCTGTCTCTGAGGTACCAAATTATCTGAATTACCCCCCGACACACACACACACAAAAGGTGTGTACTGTTTTGAAGACATCTCACACAGTGAACAGAATTCCAAGATTACAGGAACTTAAATAATGAACTTTATTACAAAAATCAAAACAATATAGGCAGGCAGTTTCCAGGTTGGTGACTTAGAGGCTGGAAAAACATCCAGTGTCAGAGTTCTTCTTGACAAGCGGCCCAAACACACTTACTTACCTGTGTCTCTAGTACTAGGTCAAGTTCATGCCCTAACCTTCAGGAGAACAGGAAGGAGGGCTTAGACTTCTCATGATTTCATCCAGCAAATGGGGAGGAGCAGCTCCTCTGTACACATTGGGGCGGTGACAGGTGCACTGTGTAGACTTGCAAGTGGAGAAGTGAAATAGCCTCTGCCTCAAAACAGTGACAAACGGCAAGGCCCTTGCACAGGTTACAAAGTTTAACACAGCTGCTTAAAGCTTCTATGGACCTGGAACTAAAGGGGACTCTCCCCACCATGTGTCTTCAGATCTTGAGGGCTCAATTCAGATGGACGGCTCTCAGGTGGTTTGCTCCCATGTAATGACAGTACAAAGAATGTGTGTGCCCCATACATAGCTAAGGTCTTTCTCCAGTGTGAACTCTTTGGTGTTGAGTGAGGACAGATTTGGAGCCAAAAGACTTCCCACATTTACTACACTGATAAGGTCTTTTTCCAGTGTGAATTCTCCGATGTTGAATGAGACTAGAACTTTGACTAAAGGACTTCCCACATTCACTGCACTCATAAGGCCTTTCTCCAGTGTGAACCCTCAGGTGTTTAATGAGGTTAGATTTGCAGCTAAAGGATTTTCCACATTCTTTGCACTTAATAGGCCTTTCCCCAGTGTGAACTCTCTGGTGGTTCCTAAGGTTGGAGCTATGGCTAAAAGTTTTCCCACATTCTCCACACACATAAGGTCTTTCCCCTGTGTGGACTTTACGATGTGAACTGAAGCTAGAGCTTTGCTTAAAGGACTTCCCACACTTACTGCATTCATAAGGCCTCTCTCCAGTGTGAAGTCTTCGGTGGTGAATGAGACTGGAACTTCGACTAAAGGATTTCCCACACTCACTGCACTCATGAGGTCTTTCTCCAGTGTGTACTCTCTGGTGGTAAATGAGACTAAAGTTCTGGCTAAAAGATTTTCCACATTCACTGCATTCATAAGGTCTTTCTCCAGTGTGAACTCTCTGGTGTTGAATGAGGTTGGACCTTTGGCTAAAAAATTTCCCACATTCCCCACATTCATAAGGCCTTTCTCCAGTGTGAACTTTCCTATGGCTGTTGAGGCTGTAGATCTGACTGAAGGATTTCCCACATTCATCACACTCATAAGGCCTTTCTCCTGTGTGAACTCTCTGATGGATAATAAAGCTGGAGTAGTAGGTAAAGAATTTTCCACACTCACTGCATTCATAAGGCCTGTCTTCACTGTGGACTTTCTGGTGCTGAATGAGATTACATCTTCGTGTACAGGCTTTCCCACACTTGCTGCACTCAAAAAGCCTTTTCCCAGTAAGGACTCTCCAGTCCTGAACCAGTGTGTTTGAGTGGCTGAAGGTTTTTCGGCATTCTTCCCAGTTGTGGTGATTTTTCCCATTATGAAAAGCCACCTGGTAGTTACTTGGTTTCTCTCCTGTGTGAGTGATTTGTGGACAGGGAAATCCCATGCTGGCCAGGAAGCCCCTCCCAACTTCCTTGCAGGAAAAAGGCTTCCCTGACACATGGAGCATGCAGCTCTTTATAAATGAGGTTCTGTCCACAAAGCTTCCAAAGGATGCCTCTTTAATGTGCTGCCTTTGGCGCTGGGGAAGATTAGCAGTGAAGTGGAATTGCTTCCCGCAGTTGTGTGGTTTTTTCCCGCAATGTGTTCCATGGTGCGGAGCCACGTGCAGAATGTCTCTCAAAACCAAGCCACAAATTTCACAAGCATAGGCATTCTGGGAAAATGACCCTTCTTTGGGAGTCCTGACCTGTGATGATCTCACAGAAAGGCCCAGCTCACAAGATGCCACTTCATGCTCCACTGTACATGAACAACCTGAAAGTAAAAAAGTAATGATGAAGTACACATTGCCTTTATTAGGAGGGGTCAACACAATCACAAAAACACATCTGAGGAAGTTAGTTGCTTCAGGAACCTGAATGGAGGAACCTGACTTTTCATCAGCCAAGATGGCTTCCAAAAGGAGAATTCTGAGCTTTAGTGAAAGGCATCAAAAATTAGTAGATCAAAACTACAGCAAAAAATTGCACATGGAAGCACTAAAAAAGATAGAGAGTCAAGTCAGGAACCAAATTGGGGTTTTTTGGGGGGTCGGAGGGTTGAGGCAGGGTCTCACTTTGTAGTTCAGGCTGGTCCTGAACTCACTATGTAGCCCATGCTGGTCTCGAACTCATGGTGATCCTCCTGCCTCAGCCTCCCAAGTGCTGGGATTATAGGCATGCGCCAGTATGCCTGGCAGGAACCAAACTGTGCAGAATTAAAATGATTACTATGTTGCACACAAGAGAGTCCTCAGATTATCACAGAACGAGCAGTTTGAGTTGGATATGGAAGAAGCCATCCAAAAAAAAGCAGAAGAAAACAAGAGATTAAGGACATTCCAGCTTGAACAAGAAGAAAAATTGGCTGTGGAACTGAGAAGACTAAAACGTGAAAATCTAAAAGATGAAAAGATGAGGCAGCAAGTAAAAGAAAATAGTATTGAGCTCAGAGAATTGGAGAAGAAATTAAGAGCCACTTACATGAATAAAGAGAGGGCAGCCCAGATTGCTGAAAAGGATGCCATTAAATATGAACAAAGGAGATGTAATGCTGAAATAGCCAAAACCATTATGGAAGAGCACGAGAGAGTAATAAAGGAGGAGAATGCTCTACAAGACAGATGAAACAAAGAGAAGGCACAATACTATCGTGACTTAAGAGAAACAACATGAAGAACAAGAAAAAAGAAAGCAGGACGCTTATGAGCAGTAGCTGAAAGAAAAACTCATGGTTGATGAAATTGTTAGGAAAATATACGAAGATCAATTAGAAAGGGAACAAAGTTAGAAAAAAATGAATGTAACTTAAAAGTACATTCAAGAGTTTCAGAAAGAGCAGGCTCTGTGGAGAAAAGAGAAACATGAGATGGAAGAGGAAAACAGGAAAATGATGGAATTTGCCAAAATGCAGCAGCAAAGAGAAGGATGGCAAAAGTTCAAGAAGTTGAGGGGAAAAGACTATTGCTTCAAAATGAGCTGATTCAGAAATTGGAAGAAACGCTACAACAGCATGAAGATTTGGAACAAGTTCGACAAGAATTATATCAGGAAGAAGCTGAAGTTTGTAAGAGGAAAATAAAAGAAACAGAAAAGAAACTGAGAAAGCAAAAAGAGATGAAGCAAGATTTTGAGAAACAAATGTCCTTGAAAGAACCAGTACAACAGGCTGCAAAAGAAGAGACCTAGGGCCAGGGATCTGGCTCAGTGGCACCACTCCTGCCTCGCAAGTGCACGATCCTGAGTTTGATCCCCAGTACCCCCCCAAAAGAAGAGATCTTTAGAAAAACTATGCTAGCTAAACTTGCTGAAGATGATCGGATAGACTTAATGAATGCTCAGAAACAAAGAATGAAGCAACTGGAACATAGAAGGGCTGTGAAAAAACTTACTGAAGAGCGTGGTAACCAGTTCCTTGCAGACAAGCAATGTGAACTTGAGAATGGCAATTGCAGCAAAGAAGACAAGGGTGTATCAATGCAATTTCTGAAGAAGAAAGGCTAAAACTTCTCAAAGAACATACTACAAAATGACTAGGGTATCTTCCTAAAGGAGTTTTTAAAACAGAAGATGATGTTGATACGCCTGGTGAAGAGTTTAGGAAAATGTATCAGAAAAGAAGTGAAATTTGTCAAAAGAACTGATGGCAAGATTTGGTAAATCCTGCATTCTTTTGTATGTAACCACTAGACGTCAGTGTAACTTTTGTTTTACAGTTCATTGTTGGTAGGAATCCACTGTCTTACTTGAATTTTCTAAAACATCCCTTTATTTCATAATTTATAAACAAGTGTCAGATAAAAATTAAACACCGTAATGTCTTTAACTGCAAAATTAATTTTTTCCATTATTGTAGATAATTTGAAGATCTTGATTCCATAGCACCACCTGATGTTATAACACTCTCTCTACATCTAAGTATAGGCCAAACCCAGGCTAACTCCTCAATATCTCCCTGTCTAGAGATTTTCTGTTATCTCCATCCTCAAGAAAGTCTATTCACATTGACTAATAAAAACTTTGGGCCATGGTGAACTGCTTTCTATTACACACCCCCCCACTCCCCGATACTGGAAAGAACCAGTGCATGGGACTGTTTTCAGAAAAAGGAAATTGGGCTTTGGCTGTGGAAACAGCTGCTCTACAATACAGGGCCCTTAAGGTCACAGAGGAGAGCAAGCCTTCCCAGACTCAAGACATAAGGAGGAGGCATCATCCAGGGCAAAAGGCTTGTTCAACTCATTTCCTTGTTAAATGGTTTTAGCTGGACCGTATCAGCTAGTGACATGTGATGCTATGAACTATAATCTAGACCCAGGAAAATGTCACTTGAGCAGTAACTGGTGTTCAGGAACTATTAAAGGATATATGTATACTTCAGGACATAGTATAAAATAAACAGAGAAAGTGGTGTGAGGAATACATAAGATACAGATTACAGACAGGTAGGGATTTGCTCTGGGATGGAAGTGAAAATAAAAATCACAAGTGGATAAATTGTCAAAAACAGAGAAGGGAAAGTAATAGTGAGTTGCAAATGCTAATAACATCAAGAAACTGGTCAAAACCACAGGTTCCTAGTTGAAAACAGTCCAAATGTCCTGCCATCCCCTTGGTCAGGATCTCTCTGAATCCATCTTTTTACAGCTGGAGTCATGAACATCCTGGGGAAGCATGGAGGAGTCTTCTCCTGGTCCCTATTGAGGAGTTAGACCAGGATGGTGCAAATCCTCAGGGAAAGACGGACCATTAAGAGCAGCTAACACTGGCCCTGAACAACACAGCTCTCAACGATACACAGGAAAATGTTAGCTGTCAAGTTGGTATAGATTCAAATTAGAGCATTAAAAATAGGATATGAAATATAATTTGCATGGTAACTGTAAAAAATAGCTTCAGAAAAGTTCACAAAGTAGGGCCGGGGATTTAGCACGATGGTTCCAGCGCCTGCCTTGCAAGCACAAGGACCCAAGTTCGATCCCCGGTACCAAAAAAAAAGTTCACAAAGTAAAGGACAAGGAATTAGAATTTTTCACAGTGAAAAAAAATGAATTGAACACAAAAATAGCAATGCAAGAAATTAGGGATAAAAAAGCTATAAAGCATATAGAAAACAAATGGCAAGATGACAGAGGTCAGTCTCTCCTTACTGGTAATTATTCTAAATGTAAATGAATTAAACTCTACACAAAAAGATTAGCAGAATGGGTTAAAAAACAAAAAAGAAAACAACCATGATCCAACTATCATTTTAGATTAAAAGACACAAATAAGTTGAAAGTGACAGCTTAGAAAAAGACATTCTATTTAAATAGTAACCTAAAGACAGCAAGGATGGCTATATTAATATCAGATAATACAGACTTTAAATCAAAAAAGATTATAAGACACAAAGATGGACTTTGCTTTATTACCCAATTAACATAATCAAAACACACAAAGAAAAAACTGAATGAATTGAAGGGAGAAAAACAGTTCTACAATCAAAACTGAAGATAGCAATACCCCAATCCCAGTAATAGACAGAGAGAAGAGTGAGAAAATAAAGGACCTAAATAATACAATAAACCAAGCAGACCTAATAAATATGAGGAGAGCACTCCATCCCACAATGGCAAAATATACATAGCTTTCAAGTGCACTTCAGACATTCAAGATTGACCATGTTAGGACACACATTAATCCCCATTATTTTTTTTTTACATCATACAAAGTATATTCTCTAACTACAATGGGGTATAAGTTGGAAATAACAGAAGAAAAACAAAATTTACAAATATGGAGAAATCAAGCAGCATTTCCTTTAATAGGCAAAGAAGAAATAACAAAGGAAATTAGAAAATACTTACAGATGAATAAAAATAAAAGCACAATATAACTAAACTTTTGGGATGCAGCAAAAGCAATGTTTGGGGAAACATATGCTATAAACATATCAAAAAAGAAAGATCTCAATTCATCAGTCTACCTGTATACCTGAAGGACCTACAAACAAAAGAACAAATAAAACACAAAACTAATTTTTAAAAAATATGAGAACCAAAATTAATATAATAGAGAAAACAATACAGAAAAATCAATGAAATCAAAAAATGGTTCTTTGAAAAGGTTACCAAAATTGATGAACCTTTACATAAATTAAAGTGGGGGGAATTACTACCAATTCTACAGAAACATAAACTGACTCTGTAACAGAGAGAACAGGCAAATTCTCAGGTACACAAAACCAACCAGGACTAAATCATGAAGAAATAGAAAACCTGAACACATTAATAAATAGCAGGAAAACTGAACCAGTAATGGAAAAAAGCTGAGCAATAAAGAAAACTCTTGGATCTGGTGGTTTCACTGGTGAATTCAAGTAAACATTTAATGAAGAACTAATACCTGTCCTTAATGCTCACCCAAACTGTAGCATGACTTCTAACTACATTGTATAAGGCCAACAATATTTTGATTCCAAAGCAGAAAAAGACACTATTCTTTTTTTTTTCACCAGGAATCGAACCTGGGACCCTGTGCTTGCAAGGCAGGCGGTGGAACCACTGAGCTAAATCCCTGGCCCAATTCTTGATGACTGATGTAAAAATTATCCAGAAAGTATTAGCAAATATCTGAATTATGGAGCATACTAAGGGGACTATACAGTGACCAAATAATTTACTCCTGCAATATATGGTTGCTTCAACCTGGGCTGGGGATTTAGCTCAGTGGTTCTGCCATCTGCCTTGCAAGTGCAAGGTCCCAAGTTCAATCTCCAGTACCAAAGGGAAAAAAAAAAAGGTATGGGTGCTTCGACCTAAGAAAATCAATCAAAAGAAAAGGCAAAAGAAAAACACACACAATCACCTCAACTGATGTACAGAACCATTAGACAACATTCAATATCTTTGTATGAGGAAATCTCTAAGCAAACCAGTTATACAGAGGGGTCCTTAACATAAAAAAAGTCACAGAAAAAAACCTGACAGCTACAATTATACTAAATGTTGAAAGACCAAACACTTCCTGGAAGAGCAAAAACAAGACAAGTCTGCCTGCATCCATCCAAATAGTATTTGAAGATCTAGTCATGGTAATACAGGCAAGAAAAAGAGAATAGATCAAAATGGCAAAAAAAAAGCAAAATTATTTCTGTTCACATGTAACAGTACAAAACCCTAAAGATTGTACCAAAAAACAATTATGGCTAATAAATTCAGCAAACAAAGGCAAAAACAACACACAAATATCAGTTGCTATACACTATAACATCAAAAAGAATATGACACTAAGGAATTAACCAAGGAAGTAAAACATGTGCACTATAAAAACTATAAATATTGCCAAAAAAAATAAAGAATAAAAAATAGGAAGATACTACATGTTTATGGACTGGACTAGTTAATATTATTAAGATGTCTATAGTACTCCAAAGTGATTTACAGATTGAATGAAATAGCCATCAAAACCTCAATGATTTTTTTTTTCTTTTTTTGGAAAACAAAAATCCATCTTAGAATTCATATTCAAGGGTCACTGAATAGCTAAAGTGATCTTGAGCAAGATCAAAACTTACTGCAAAGCTATGGCAATTAAGTGTTGTTCTTCCATAAAGACAGACACATAGATCAATGATGGAATAGAGTCCAAAAATAAAACTCTCAAATGTCTGGCCAATAATTTTCCACAAAGGGAGCCAAGACTGAAAGGACATACCTTCTAATACATAAGCTAGGAAAAGTGAATATCTACATGTGAAAGAATAAAGCTGGAACTTAACCTGACCTCACATACAGTAACTATCGCAAAATGGACCAAGCTGGACATGGTGGTGCACTCTTACAGCACTTGGAGGATCACTTCAGCCCGAGATCAGCTTGGGCCACATAGGTGAACTCTGTATTAACACAGCAAAACCCAATCTCAACCAAATCAAACAAAACAAAACAAAACCACACAAAAAAAACTGGATCAAAGATCTAAATGTTGGAGCTAAAACTATAAAACCCTCAGAAGAAAATAGAGGAAAAGCTTATGATATGGGATTTATCAAGGACTCCTTCGAAATGACGCAAAGGCAATAAAAGAGAAAACAGACAAACTGGATTTTATCAAAACAAAAATCACATATATAAAAGGACACTAACAATAAAAAGCCAACCCACAGAATGGAGCAAACATTTATAAATCACATAGCTTTGATCCAGAGCACATCTGATCCAAAGCATACAGAGAATTCCTAAAACTCAACAACAATAATCCAAATTAAAAAACAGCCAAGGGACTGGAATAGAAATTTTTTGAAAACATACAAAAGGCCAATTAGCTCATCTCCCTCAATATCACTAATCTATAGGAAAATGTAAATCACAACCTTAATGAAGTATACCGTACACCAGTTTGGATGGCAATTACTACAATAATACAAAATGAGTGTTGACAAGGCTGTGGACAAACTGGAACTTTGATGCATCACTGGCTAAAAAAACAAAAAAAGTACTACATGATGCAGTGAAATAAAAGTATGACTGCTCCCAAAATAATTAAAAATAGAATTACTATATCATCCAGCAATTCCACTTTTGCACATACTGCATGTCCAAAGGAATTAAAAGCATGGGAAGATATCTGTACACCAATATTCACAGCACCATTACTTACAAAAGAGCATAAAGGTGGAAATAACACAGCATACACTGATGGATGGTGAGCAAACACAATGTAGTGCAAACATGCAATGGAATATTATCCTTAAAAGGAAAGGACGTTCGATTCGGCCTTGTCCTCCAACATAGGTATAGCTTCAAAATACTGTGCTAAGTGAAATGAGTCAGATGCAAAAGAATAACTATTGTCTGCTTCCACCCATGAGGTACTTAGGTCAAATGTACAGAAAGAAAAAAAGAATGGTGGTTGGCAGGGGATGAAAGGAATTATCGTTTAACAGGTTGTTTCAATTTTGCAAGAGCAAAACCTTACGGAAGGGTGGTGATGATTGTTGCACAATAATGTGAATGTACTAAATTCCACTGAACTGTACACTTACAATGATTAAAGTGATAAACTTTGTTACATATATCTTATCACAAAAAAACAAATGGCACCTTAGAGGAGATTCTTCCAAGAACAATTTATATCAGACTGACAATTTCAATGAGAAGATTTCACAGCATAGTCGGGAATGGATAAGTGTCAGGTATAAGAAAGAAGAAAACTTGAGTGCATGGACCTAGACAGTTACCAGACTGGGTGAAGACAAGTTGGATGACATCTCTTAGGCTCATTATAAGATTATTGATCCTGAATCCTCACCTTGAGGCTCTGGGACAGCAGGTACTGTGATGAGAGGGCAACAGGAATGCTCCCAGTCCACAGCACCTACCAGGAAACTGGGAAAAGCAGCGTACCCATGGTCCAGATCTCAGGACAATGCTGCTCCTCAGGAGAAGGAAAAAGGCATAATCTAACCTAGAGGACAAGAATGGGCATACAAGACTTACCCAGAGAGGATGTAAGTGCCAAGTTCTCCAGCATCACGTCAAGGTACAGGTGTCTCTGGGCCTCATCAAGAAGATCCCACTCCTCCCAAGAGAAGTACACAGCCACATCTTCAAAGGTGACACTACCCTGGCAAGACAGGGACTGATCAAACCGTGACCACTGTTTCTCTGAAAGACCCACCATCCATGTCCCACACATCCACTCTCATGACCACCTTCCTCCCAAGCTCCCCAAACCTGAGGAGATACCAGTCTGATGTCATTAGTGCCAGCTCTCTGTTCATTCACGCTGTTTTCCATTCTGCAACCAGACAGAACTTATCAACCTCTGGAAAAGATAACTTCCCTCCCCTGATCCAAAACTCTCACTGCCTCCACAATAGATGCCTAACTTCACAGGTGCTCAGTCCAAGCCTGCCTCCTGTCTCCTCTTGTCTGGAATTCTTTGCCAATGAAAAGGACCACAGTTCCCTAAACACTCTCACTTCCAACCAGTTCTGTAGGCTGGTATCTGCATACCTGTGACAAGCTCTTTCTCTGGTGGCCCTAAATGGGAACTTCTCCATGCAACTCCAAGTCCCTGATCTTGGTGGTTCCCCAGGGTCCCAATCTAAAATTACCAGAAATCTGAAGAAAATGTGGGTGGCGGCTTGGAGCAGTGGGTGACTGGGACATGCTCCACTTACCTGAGCAGGTTCCAGCAGCACCTCAGCAGGCTTGGGAACCTGCGGGAACAGCCAGACCAGAGAGGCTCCCTGGACCCCGGCACTGCCCCAGAGCCAAGCAACTGCGCCCAAGTCGAGGGCCAGCCTCGTGCCTCAGGGCCTGCGTAACCGACCTCTATCAGCTGTCGGCCGTGAAAGCAAGCGTACAGACCCCAGGTCTCCGTTCCCGCGCCCCTCCTCCGCTGAGCGGCCCTCGGGCACTCCGCAACCCCAACCAGCCCGCGTCTGCATGGCGCGGGGCCCGGGGCGAGGAGGCCTCTCCTCGGTGTCCCGCAGCTGAGGTCCGTCCGCGGTGATTACGCGGCCAGGGCTCCCGAGTCCTCCCGGGGGAGAAGCGGCGCTCACCTGGGCCGGGCCCCTCGGCGCAGCCGCCGCCATCGACTCTGGGGCGCCCGGGGCGGGCACCACCGATCCAGACATGCGGCGTCCCCCACTCAGGCCCCGGTCAGTCACTGCGTCTCAACGCGGGACACCGGAGGGGCTGTCGACAGGCCCGACAGCAGAGACGGCCAAAATGACCGCCAGAGAGAAGCCGGAAGTCCCTCCCCAAGTTTACGCCCGCTGGCGGGGCCCGGTCCCCGGGTCGCCAAGGGAACTACGCACTGCGTCGCTGCAAGCGTTTCTGGGTACCGGGCCTTTTTTTTTTTTTTTTTTTTTAATAGCGTCTCACTGTGTAGGTCAGGTTATCCTTGAACTCGCCATGTAGCCCAGGCTGGCCTCCAACTCATGGCGATCTTCCTGCCTCTGCCTCCCGAAGCGTTTCTGGGTAATGCAATGCCCACTGCTACTGCAGCGCCGCGAGGGGCAGCCCATGCCCTACCAGCGCGAGAAAAGACTCACTCGCCACGCGCTGGGTGCCGGGAAACGTCTTCGACCTCTCGGGGAGCCCGTGGATGGATGCCTTGGATTGGGGAGTCGAGTGTAGTATGTGTGCGTCTATGTATGTGTGTGCGTGTTTGTGTGTCTGGAGATTGTTCGCACTCAGCTGCATCCACATCCCTTTTTTAAATTTAAATTTAAATTTTTTGTTATTTTGAGACTAAACCTCACAAAGTCACTAATTCGTCCAGCCTGAGCTGGAATTGGTGATCCTCCTGTTTCAGCCTCCCAGAATGTTGGTATTACAAGCTTGTGCCATCACGCCCAAATCTGCGGTGGAAGGGATCGCTTAAATCTTAGAGGTTGAGACTCTTGCAGCAGAGCCGAGGCGCCCTCCGCTGGAGGTGAAAGTAAGTGCAGCTCACAGGCAGCCGTGCGGGCTGCAGAGATGGAGCCCAGACCGGAAAGGACAACCGGGGCGAGGTGGAGGGGCCGAGGGTTCCTCGGGAGCAGGCTCTCACCTTAGTTTCTGACACTGGCCACGCCCTGCCCTGGAGAAACCAGACCACTGCTGCTTCTGGACCTGCTCTGATCACCGCGGATCGGAAATGGTGACTTGCTGCTGCCCAGCGCCTGCTGGCGCCAAGGCAGCTCTTAAAACACACGGTGTCCTCATCCACCGTACTCACCGGATCTGGCACCCTGCGACTTCTGGCTCTTCCCCAGTCAAAGTGACCATGAGAGGGAAACATTTTGAATCGATTCAAGGCATCGAGGCAGCCAGGACAGGGCAGTTAAAGACACTCAGGGAAGAGGACTGCCGCGCTGCTTCAGAAAGTTGAGAGGACGAGGGGATGAGTGCATTCTGAGGGCGATTAAGGCAATGCGTCTTTTAATCTAATAAGTTTTTAACAATTTATTTTGTAATTTTTAATTTTATTAGTACAAGTCTGCAGTACATAATGATTACATTCCTCGAGAGGTTTGGTGCAAGTACATTATACATCTCAGTTCTTTTTACTTCGCTCCGCTCCTTCTCCCATATCTCCATCTCTGTCTCCTTCCCATTTGCAGAAGAAACTAATGTAAACACTCCCCGTGTCCTCTAACCACACCGGGCACCCCGGACAGGACAGGTTGTCTGGTGAACACTAAGGTAAGCTTGTGTGCTGAGCCTCTTTGCTCTGCTCGCTGAGAGCTCCTGGGACAGATACGGGCACCTGAGGGTGCCCCATAAGCTGCACCCTTGCAGCTGCACCCCCTCTCAGGGTACATCCCACAGTGCCATCTGTATGCACCATGGAATCCACTGTGAAGGTATTTAACACCACTTATCCTTATATTTTAACGGGTCCAAGTGGCAAAGTTTAAATTGTTTATCTTATCACAATTTTTTAAAATGCTATTGTATAATTACAACTGGGTTTTTTTCCCAAAATTATTGAGTTCTAGACTGAATGACAGGAAAAGATAGTTGCATAGATATTACTTCGTGTAATTCCTCCTTTCTAAAGATAAACAGAAAATATTACAAAGAAAGAAGCAGGAAATATATGTTACCGATAAAGGAAAACTATCCAAGTAGATTCATAGTGAGGTGGGACTCCTGACTGTGAAACAGGAGCAAGTGTGATTATAAAAGGAAAACTCCCAAACATCTGAATGAAATGTAAAGTCACTGTCACCAATGTTACCTACCTGTGATTAGAGATTCCAGCATATATATCACAAGTTGCACAATTGGAAATCCTATTTTCAAAAACAAAAACTGAACGAAGCCAACCTTCAACATATATGTCGATGATATGGTTTAGCGGGGGTTGTCCAACTTGCAGCTCACAGACCACTTGCCATTATTTTTTTAAATATTAAAATAGAAATATTTGAGAGGGAGTTTTGTTACTCAGCAACATTGACTATATTATATATTTTATACGGGCTCACAACAGTTTCTCTACACTTACTGCAGCACAGGCAGGCCAAAAGTTTGCCATGATATATAGAAAACCTACAGAACAGGTAACAGTAAAGCATTACTGAATTAATTAGGTAATTTAACAAGTTTGCTAAGTGAGAAAGTACTGTACATATCCTCACTTCTTTTTCATCTCTTCCCCAACATGGCTTCCTGGTGCTCTCTCGGACTTCTCCCTGTTTCACTCCAAAGTACTGCTGTTAGTCCTTATTTTTGGTCTTATTCCAATTTTCCTGCGTAAGTGTCTGCACACTTGATTTTCCCTCTTCTGTACTCTCAACCCTTTTTCACCCTTTCATCACATGCGTGCGCGCACACAAACACACACACACCGCTGTTATCTTTGTTACTGGCTGTCAGTTTATACCTCCCATTTCTTTTTTTCCTCCAATTTGTGATCTGTATTTTTCTCTTAGTCCTCTTCTTCCCTGTTCCTCTGCTCCATTTCTTCCTATTTCTCTTCTTCTGATGTTCACTCAAGTTAATGTTTCTTTCTCCCATCTTCTTTACTAGGTTTCCTTCTTTTTCCTTCTCTCCTTTCTGCTTCTTTTCCTATTCTCTCTGTCCTCTCCTCTTATATATCTCCTCTCTCAGTTTTCTCAGTCTGTCTTCCAGTTATCATCTACTTTTCTTTTTTATTCTTAACAAGGCTGTGAAAAGACACACATTTGTATTAATATTTTATCAAATAATTCATTTAATCTACAGTGTGTAAATGAAAGTTCAAATACATCTAAAATTAATAAGCTTTTCATACAACCTGATAGTGGATCAATTACCTCTTCTTGTAAATGATTCCCAGGAGGACAACATAAGATCCTGGTTTTCAGGGACTAAGGGGAAAAGCTCAGTACAAGCACAAATGGACAGACCCCACCCATTGGCACACACATGCAGTGACACTTTTGTATGCACACACACATGCATATATATGCAGACACATGTCCATAGATACTGGAACATTTGAAGTCCCACACAACACACACAGTCAATACATTAGATTTCTTTGTCTAAATGATACAAACAAAATTTTAAAATATAATTCTAAATACAATAAGAGCATCATATTTATTACATGAGAAGTTGTAAGGAAGATGCTAAATGTGATGAAAGTGCACAAATAATTGAATACCTAAGCAAAATTAAATACTAATATTAAAAGGTCATTTATATTAATTAAAGTAACAGACTTAATTTTTAATATCTGCAATTTAAAGTATTATAAAAACATTTAAATAATATTAACAAAGCCTAATAGCAATAATAAAATATGCACTTGATGTAATTTACATCCACATATAGATAATGCAAAATTTTACTAACATTCCAAAACAGTTCCTTGAAAATTTATAATGCAAATAAAATGTACATTTGGTAAAATGTATACATAGTTTATATTTTCATTATGCTAAAATAACAGGAATTTAAAGGAATAAAAGGCTAAGCACAATAAGTTAAGAAAGTAGATAAAAGTAGATGTAAATGAGTTCACAAATTCAATAATCAAATGTAAATAATTTGAGAAAGGGAAATAATTATCAGTGTGAAACTTAGTTTCAGAAAAACAAAGAAACTGGTCAACGCTGTCAGGTGTGGATCCACTGGCCCTTCATAACAGCCCAACACTTCCCAGTACTGTCCAGTTGAGTCCCTGTGAAATTTACAGTCCTTCCCTCTAGCGTACCCCAGAGGAATAGGCACAAATCTCAGGGGAGACCTACCCCTGAGGCTCCCCAGTGTGTAGGACAGGACAGGACCATCATGGAATTAATTTACCTTGAGCATTGTCTCCCAAAGACAACAACTAGGACACTGGAACATGGAAGTGAAGAATCGGAGATAGCAAGGGACTGCCAGGGGCAAGCTGTGCAACGGACCTCACACCCAACAATTAAGACCAGGGAAGCTCAGGGCCGGGAATTTATCTCAGCGGCACTGTGCCTGCCTTGCAAGTGCAAAGTCCTGAGTTCAATCTCCAGTACCATAAAAAATAAATAAATAAATAAAAAATAAAGCGCAGGGAAGCTCTGTTCAGAGAGCATCCCAAATGCCCTCTCCTGCTATTTATTTACCATGCCAGGTTTTAAAGCTGATATTTAGATCTTTGTTTGGCTCATGTGCAGGTTTCCCTTAGATTTGTTTTCTGGAAAGTGTTCGAATTATTCTTCCATGTTGAGTGATGAAGCCCACAGAGGAAAATTTTATTGAGAGCTTTAACTCCAGTTCTGATACATAAATGCCTTTCATAAAGAGAAGGTCTCACCCAGCCACTGGACTGTGAAAGTCTCATCATATTGAGTGTTGAAAAAGACCAGGAAGAGTTTAAGACTTCAAGGTGAAAACAGCTGAGGTGGTTCAGGGAGCAAATAGGCTAAATGGTGCAGTCAAGTAGTCAAGTCAGGAAGGAAACACGAAGCAGGGCGAAGAATGGAGCCTGGGTCCTCTGAATTGTGCAGAATTTGATGGGGACTGAACAAGAGAATTGCAAAAGACAGGGAGAAAACAGACAATATATATTTTTTTCTTTTGAATTTAGGTGATGGTGTACTGTTTTCACAATAGTAGCCGCAGGTTCTGGATAGACTATGGTCACAGTTCGTGAGCAAAAAAGGGCAAAAAGTCGGGAAACAAGCATTAATGAAGGCAGCGATTCTCAATAAGGAGTGATGATTATGAAAAACAGTCAAATACACTTGGATGAAGCAGGAGATGGTGTAAAAATTTATATATGTGCACACCAGGATGAGGATGCTGTAGATGGCTCTGGTCTCAGGGGAGGATGTAGAAGAGACATTGGTCCTGTGGATGTGTTCCACCTGCTGCTTGTGCCTGTGTAGGATGAAAACCATGGAGATGCTGGCCCAGAGCATGAGCACCATACACAAAGCATCAGGGATGGAGAAGAATATGACAGCAACTGATAAAAATTCCTCATAACCTCTAGCAGAACAGTAGGAAAAGTCTGATTCATTGGTGATGTTTGTGTTTTTCCATCTGGCAGTCACACTTGCAGGAAAAGGGATATTCAGCAGTAAATGCAGGACCCACCAGTGCACAGCACACATGCTCATGTACTTCTGAGCTGTTACTTTAAGCTCTGCCCACTTAGAACCCTTGGAGTTCATTATGACGGCCTGGAAGACTCCCAAGAGGCAGGTATTACCAGTGGTCACACCCCTACCCACTCTGTGAACACAGAAAACAAGTTTGCATGCAAAATCACTGAGGAAGTGCTCCACCCCAAACGCTGCCATGGTCTCTGGGATCCCCCTTGAGAGAATGACCAAGAGGTTGGCCACAATCAGATGCCTGAGGATCAAATCTATCGACCTTTACCTTCATCCACTGAAGTAGAGAAATAAATACTGACTGAAGAGTGAAAAATTCCCCAGGGTTCCAATGACAATCTGGACAAGGAAGACCAGTCCAATATTCACATCCATGGAGACCAGTTCAGCTATGTTCTCTGCATTTGCATTTTTAAATACCAGATTCTGCATGAACATAGGAGTTGCATATTTTATTCACGGAAAACTACGTTGAATTTTTTCATTTTTACTGTTATTGTTTCTTTCATAAGCACGCTTTGCTTTTATTTAGATATTTACCGAGCTTTATAGTTTCTTTGTAGTGCACATACAATGTATGGACCACATTCACTAAAGTTTTGCATATCAATAATAAATTTAAATTTTACAGCAGCATAATTCAGTCACTACTACTATTCTTTATATTCCAGGAGACTTTAGCCACAAGGACTCACTGAAATATTAATGGAATCTGACTTTGAACCAGAATAACCTCCTTGTAACAACATCATGTTACCTTGTAACACTGTATATGGTACCCAGTTCCCTAGTTGTGTTGTTCAAAAATAAAAACGTGTACATTATTGAACAATAAAAATATTTCATAGTTGGGTTTTTGAAATATTATTGTTATCTAAATATTATTCAACTGTCCAATACATATTGAAGAATAAAGAATCAAGTTTGAAAATTCTTAATAAATGTGCATACATTGAGTAATTTACCATACCCAGTTTGTTTGTTGAATGTGGATAAATATATAAAAACTATAATAAGAATAAAAGTATTCATTTCACTTCTTGCCAGAAGAACAGAGGACATAAATTACAGAAAAATATTGTAGTTTGTCCTATGCCTGGGAAACGATATTTAAGTAGTGATGAAATGTTTTGAAAGCAAACTAAATTAAACCTGGATAGGAAATGTGTGGTTATGTCAGTATTTTAGATAAATATTCAAATTAAACTGATTATCTAACTTGTAAAACATTGAAATAAAATACAGCACAAGAATATAAAATGAACATGGGAACCATAGAATCAAGTTGAGGAAAACTATTCACAAAGACTTTGTTTCCATTTTTTCAGGAGGGTTCCTTTTAAACTGCAGCCACAACAGCATTTGTTATCATTTGATTTCTTGATGATTTCTATTCTTTTTGGGATAAGATAGAATATTGAGTGTTGTCTTAATGTGAATTTCTGAAATGGTCAGTGACAACGAACATTTATTCATCTATTTGTTGGTCATTTATACTTCTTCTGAAGTATTTTTTGTTTGTTTTTGTTTTTGTTTTTTTGTACCGGGGATTGAACTTGGGTACTTGCGCTTGCACAGCAGGTGGCGAAACCACAGAGCTAAATCCCCAGCCTAAGAGTGTCTATTTATTTCAGTTGCTTATTTTTTTAATTGGGTCTTTTATTTTGGAGGGGTCCTTTTGTTTTAGTACTTTATATATTCTAGGTATTAGTCTTCTGAGAAATAGCTGGCAAATTAATTTCCGTTCTTTAGGTTGTCAGTTCACTCTGTTGTCATTTATTTTGCTGTACAGAAACTTTATAATTTGATATAATCCCATTTGTTGGTTCTTGATGTTATTTCTTGTGAAATTGGAATTCTGTTTACAAATTTCTCGCCTATGCCTATAACTTCAGAGTTTTACCTATTTTATCTTCCAGCAGGTTGATTATTTGTTTTTCTGTTTAGATCCTTCATTCATTTTGATTTTAGTTTAGTACATGGTGAGAGATATGTGTCTCTCTGGCATACAGATGGCCAGTTTCCCCAGCACAGCTTGTTAAAGAGGTTGTCTTTCTTCCAACGTATGTTTTTGGGTCCTTTGTTGATCAAATAGCTGAATGTGAGGATGTTTCTGTATCCTCTATTCTGTCCCATTGATTCAATGTCTGTTTTTGTGCCAATACCATGCCACTTTTTATCACTGTTGCTCTGTAGTATAGTTTGAAGTCAGCTGTTGTGATGCTTCCTGCTTTTCTCTTGTTATCCAAGATTGTCTTTGTTATTCTGAGTCTCTTTTGGTTCCATGTGAATTTCAGGATTCTCAGTTCTAATGCTTAGTATTTTGATTGGAATTGCATTGAATCTACATATGAATTTTCGGAGTATGACCATATTGACAATATTGGTTCTGCTTATTGAGGAACAGGGGATATCTTTCAATTTTCTGATGTTCTTTTCAATCTCCTTTTTCAGAGGACTGTAATTTTCACTGTAGCAGTCTTTCATTTCCTTGGTTAGGTAATTTCTAGACATTCAATTTTTCTTCATGTTATGGTGAATGGTATTGTTTTCCTACTTTTCTATTCAGTGAGTTCATTATTGTATACATGAATGCTATTAATTCTTGTGTTGATTGTGTATCCTACTACATTGCTGACATTATTAAGTCTAAGCAGTTTTTGGTGAAATTCATTAAGTGCTCTATATAGAGTATCATGTCATCTGTAAATGATAATTTGACTTTCCCATGTTCTTTTAATTTCTTTCTCTTGCCTGATTGTTGTGGCTAATGTTTCCAGTACTTTGTTGAATAGAAGTGGTGATAATGGACATCTTTGTCTTGTTCCTGATTTTAGAGGGAATGTTTTCAGTTTTTTTCCCATTTAATATGATGTTCACCATTGGTTTGTCATAAATGACTTTATGTCATTGATTTCAAGGTCTTTTTAGTAAGATACCACCTCCATGTGATGTGATTTCAAAATTATCTGACAACAGATAGTATTTATCCCTTTAACTATTTAACTTAAGTGGTTTGAAGTCTGTATTTTGAGTAAAGTTTTGCCTCCGGATGTAATAGCATCAACAGATCTGATCATACATCTTTTATATGTAATAAACTCTCTGTTCACACTTTCACCCTTTTTCAATACTCTTTACAGCCTGTATTCTATTGTTATCAGCAGTTGTTCTTCAATGTGGAAGGAAAAGTCGAAGGAAGAGATGGAGAGAAGGGTGAAAAAGGAGTGTGAGGGGGAAATGTAAATAGGAGAAATAATCATGGGGAAAAATTAGGTATAGGCCAGATTCATTGGAGGCTTTTTAGTTTGATTGAAGGGTTAGTCTTGAAGGTTTTAAGAAGATACTTGTGGCAGCAAGGACAGGATATAGAAAGAGGGATGTGTACATTGGGATTGAGGGAAGATATGAAGTTGTCTGAACCTGTTGATATATTTGTGCATCTAAAAAGTAGAACAGAAGCAAGAAAAAAGAGGAGTCCAGGTAAGGAAAGCAAAAGGATAGAATAGAGAGTGCAGAAGGCTAGTACAAGGGAAGACAGGAGTGACTGAGAGAGCAGACTATACCAAACAAAAAATTTGAGAGGAAGAATTTGAAAAGTTGGAGAAACAAGTAAAAGATAACAATAGACTATTGCTACAGAAGCTTGAGTTGAAGAGACAAAGTAGGGAGACAAGAAGAGTGAGAGAAAATTAACAACTAAATTGAAGCAACCACCCCCCGAAACAAAAATAAAATCAAATTCAGTAGGAACCCAGATCAAATACTTGAAGAAGACAAGGTACACGCAATTCACCCACGGCCATTGTGCCAGAAAGTCTGAGTATCCACACAATTTCATTCCTGCTTTCACTGTGGTCTGACTGCAGGCAACCACACCAACTTCCCCTTCCCCTTGCACTCAAGACCCAAACAAACCCAGTCTCAATAATTCTCCCCTCCAGCTCACAGGCAGAATCTGATGCTGTCCCTGGCTGTGGCGTAGGGTGTCTCCAGCCCTAGGTGTGATAGTGGAAGAGTCAGTTTGTTCCCAGGAGGGATTCTTGCAGGAGTTTGTGTGTGGGTGTGTTCCAGTGCAGGTGTGTGTGGGGGGGTCTGTGGAAATCAGACAATGTGTTTGCTCTTTGGTGTGGGACCAGGGTGGCAGGCACAGGCAGTTCACTTTCAGGCAGGGGTCCACAGTGTCAGTGGATTGGAGTTCATGCCCATGGGAGTCCTTGGCCTTATTCCCTTGTTTATCTTCTCCCTGCCCAGGGTGGGGGCTTCCCTTGCACTCTTGAGGCTGCTTCTGGGCTGCAGCATTCTCCATGGTTTGGAGGGAGGTGGGAACAGGGGGTAGCGTCTGCAGAATCTGACCCGAGTCCAGCCTTTGCATCTTCATCTTCATTCATTCATTCCCTCAGGCAGCTTAGGATGCTCTGATAACAGCAGTTCTCAGGGGTTGGTGGCTGAAGCAGTCACAGTGGACCAGGTGTGGTGGCTCCACTTCTCTTCAGTGATCCAGATGTTAGGCTTGATCTTTACATACCATCTTTCTTATTAAATTTCTATTTCAATGCATCAGGCCCTCCCCTGCCACAGAGTACCTGTGGCTCTAATGAATCCTCTCAGTACTTGAAAACTGACTACTCCTCTAGTCAGTGATGTTGGAACTTGGAATGAGGTTCTTGACAAGGATAAGGAAACTCAGTGTTCATCTAGGTTAAAATTTCATCCTATGTTCACTGAAAAGAAAGTTTATGTTTATTTGTTTTGCAAGAATCTTCTTGGTTTGTGTCTTATACTTTTTGTTTTGTTTTCCTTGTCTTTGTTGGAACATTTTAGAGACACATAACGATAGCATTCATCATGAGGAATTTGTACCTGTACACGATATATCTTGATTCTTTTTTACCCATTCCCTTCCCCTCCCTTTCACCCCTCTTCTCCTCCCCTTTATTCCCCTTCTCATTTGAAAATTTTCTTCCCATTTTCTTTTATACATTTTGGTTCTTACTTACACTTTCAGTTTCTCACACTAGAGGAGCAATGCAGTATTTAAACGTGTGTGTAATTTATTTCACTTATGAGTATAGTGTCAAGGTGGATCCATTTAGCTAGAAATGTCTCAAGTTTATCCTTATTTATGACGAAGTGGTACATTGTTGTATAAAAATATATCTTCTTTATCCATTCATCAGTTGATGGGCATTTGGACTGTTTCCAAGATTTAGCTATTACAAACTGTGCTGTTATAAACATGGGTGTGCATATATTGCTGTGGTATGATGTAAGACAGTCCTGTAGCACCGTGTGCTATTTATAGTACACATCTACAGCTTTGGAATTTATTTTTTATTTGATGTGATTTGACCTTAGTCATTTCTCTTCTTGGTTTTTTCTATGTACAAATACTACATAAAGCAGTTGCTTGTTGGACTGAACTTTTAAAAATAGTAAGAAAAGAAAGAAATTAGGAAGAATCCTAATAGCAAGGAATTAAATAAGAAAACAATGGAATAGAAAATTGCAAAGTTCAAATTTCATCACAAATACTGAATTTCCACTTCACCGTTATGTATATCTTTTGTGCACAAAAAGGTTTTTTTCAATAACTAAGTCAAACTTTCTGAATAGTTCAAAATGGAATTTATTTCTAAACATTACTATGAATTCTGGACATAAATGGATTTGATTAAAAACATGATGAATGGCTGCAATTAATGTGGATCTGTGCAGAACTGGCCACCTGTGAGCAGAGCAGGGACCACATCCTGTCATCCCCAAGTGACAGCATCCCACCTGCTCATCTGCCATCACCCCGACAAAATACCTGAAATAAACTACTGCTTAATTATGTATGTATTTTTATTGAATATCCATATGAATTTGAAATATCTTCATTGCATTTTTATAAACATATAAGGAAGT